CTGCTTCTCCCTCTGCACCATCCCCCCACTCTCTCTCTCTCTCAAATAAATAAAATCTTAAAAAAAAGTGAACAAATAGCTATAAATTGAATGTCATATTTTAAAACATATACAATGCCTCCTTGTCTAAGACCCATAAAGTATTTTCAAAATTTGGTCCCAAATAAAACTTCAATAATTTCCAAAAAGAAGAAATAGCAGAGGTCACTCTCTGGCTCAAATTTCTAAGTAGAAATTAATATCGAGAACTAAAATAGGAAAACATTCGAACTACCTAAATTTTTAACCCCTCTTATAATTGGGTTAATTTGAGATGAAATAAAAATAAAATTATGGAACACTTAGGAAAAAATAAAATACACTATAACATTTCAAAAGTTTGAGATGCAACCAAACTGTAATAGAAACACATCCAGAATCATAAGTTATATCTTTATTTAGAAAATAAAGAATCTAAAATGAAATGGGGATAATAGGTTTTGGAGAAATGGTAAAAAAAATTGTATCAAGGAAATTACAGGGTAAAAAATAATACAGAAAAATTCAAAAATTCAAAATTGAGTAATTTTTTCTTTGAAGAAGCTAATATCTGCCAGACTTCTGAAAAACATAACCAGAAGAAAGATAACATAAAATTCAAAATGAGAAGGATAGACAAGGTTTTTAATATTAGAATATATGATATGTATGTAAGTTTGTTCTAATTTTTTATAAAATATATAGCTTTACAGAAAAACATAAATTACCAAATTTAAATCAAGAAAAAGTAGAGAGTCTAAATAGACAAAAATAAAAATGGAGAAAGAATCTGAAAATGTAGTCCTTCCAGGGCAGGACTTCAAGGCAAATAGTTTTCTAATAAATTCAAGGATCAGATAACTGTCATGGTATATAATCTTTTCAGAAAATAGAAATGTTTGAAAAACAACTCAGTTTATTTTGTTACCATATTATCAAATACATAAATAGATAATTTTCCCAAAACATTAATAAGTGCCTGTGTGTATTCAAAATTCTGGATCAGAGCTGTTCTAGGGGTACAGACCGGAGTGATTCCTACTCTCAACGAGTTCAGAGACCAGGGAGGGAAGACATATAAAATCAAATGTTACAGTTAGCGAAACCCACTGCAAGCAGTTTGGCAAACTAAACAGTCTGAATGAAATTTCTAGCACAAATGTTGCATTACAGTGGTCACAGGAAAATAAGGAAAATCTTCAAAGGGCAAAAAAAAATTAAAAATAGTGAAATTACAACTTAAAGTCAGGGATAAGCAAGCATAAAATCTAGGACTATAAAGAATAAGTCTTGGGCCTCCTATAAGGAGGTGAAGTAGAATCTGAGACTCACCCATCAAGCTGAGATACTCGAGAGGGGACTAAAGGGGTCAGAAATTGACAGAAGCATCCGGCCCAAAGGTGAAGCAAATGCCAATTTTTCTTTTTTTCTTGGAGGGCAGTATGCTCCATTAGTTCCTCAGGACTCCCACAGATGATAATCAACCTGTATTATTTCAGAATAAAAATCTGCCAAATGAAGACTCAAGTTTCCATGTGTGTCAGCAGAACAAAACACTGGATGTAGACCACCCTGAGCTCAAACTGTATTCATCAGTTCATTCTGATTGCCAAATTCTATTTTCACCACCATTTATTCATCCACTCTCTTGTCACCATGCATTGGGCTTCTTTGTTTTTGCTACTTTGAACAGTTCTTTTTTTTTTCTTTTTAGACTTCATTTATTAATTTTGAGAGAAAGACAGAGAATGCGTAGCGGGGAGGGGGAGAGGCAGAGGGAGAGGGAGAAGCAGACTACCCGCTGAGCCGGAAGACTGATGTAGGGCTTGATCCCAGGACCTGAAGATCATGACCTGAGCTGAAGGCAGACGCTTAACCATCTGAGCTGCCCAGCTGCCCAGCTACTTTGACCAGTTCTAAGGTAAACTTTAGTGAACATGTGTCCTGATATATGTGTGCAATAATCTCCCTTAGGTAAACACCCAGGAGTGGAACTGCTGGGTCAGCATACATGTGAATCTACCTTTAAGTTTACAAGATAATGACAACCTTTTTGTTTCAGAAATAGTTGAATGTGTATTCTTACTAGCAACAGAAGACATTTTGTGCAGCAATGCTATTGTCACTTTTAAGTTTTCACCAATCTAGTGAGTGTAACATTATATTTCATTGTGGTCTTGGTTTGCAATTCCCTGACTAATCAAGCTGAATATTTCTTTCTGTACTTGTTGGCCATGTTGCTCCACTGTCTTTCGTCCACCTTTCTATTGGTTTGTTTGGACCTGGTTTCAGTTTTTATCCATCAGTTGACCTAGTCCATTGCATTATTCTTGGACTACAGGACAAATTAAATACCCAACATTAGGAGGTCCCCAGTACACCACGTCTGGAAACTACTGTGGCATTTGTTCATGGTGTTTGTTCCCTAAGTGTGGTGTGGCTTTCCCCTTCTCCAATGGACCTTCAGCTCAGAACAAATACCATCTGATCTTTGAAGATAACCCAAATCTGACAAAATTTGTCCTGTACACCAACAGCACTTAATTCATAGCACTCTAGTAGAGTAAACCACATGTGTACAATGATGCAGATGACTTTCTCCACCCTCTCTACTTGGAAAACAGAAGCTTTTGATAGCAGGGACTGTGCTTATTTATCTCTGAATCTTCAAAAGTTAACAGTAGTTGGAACAAATGAGGCATTAAATGTTCAAAAATCAGAAGAGATGACTTTGCTAACTTCAAAAACATTCCATTCACGTTGTTAAAAGAGAGGCATTACAGAGATTTAAGTTCTTTCTTTAACAAACATTTGTAGTAAGGCATTTTATTAGTCAACTTCAGAAAATCTCAGTTCCACTTTCAGATACTTCATTGTGTTCTCAATCATGTGACCCAGTTTAGGTTTGGAAAACATGATTACTTTAGGACTGGGTACTACTACCATAGGACTTACACAGACAAATATAAAGATTTCCTGTGCTCAAATAATTTGGTTATATTTTATAAGGAGCATAAAACATGAACAAAAATAGCTATGTTACAAGGGAGGATATAAACTGTATTATGCAGCTAGGAAGAATTGAGGCCATCACCAAAAATACAGCAAAAAAAATAAATAAAAAAACAGATAAATAAAACAACCAATTCCTAGTAAGTTAAATACTTAAGGAACAGATATATTGAATTGCCACAGAAATATTTATTTCCATGCTCCCCTGGGGTCTTAATCCTCATCCTCAATTTTTTTTTTTTAAGATTTTACTTATTTGAGAGAGACAGAAAGACAACACAAGCGAGCGGGGAGAAGGGACAGAGGGAAAGTGAGAAGCGGACTCCCCGCTGAGCCGGGAGCTGAGTGGGGGCGCCCAATCCCAGGACCCCCAGATCATAACCTGAGTCGAAGGCAGACGCTTTACCCATTGAGCCACCCAGGCGCCCCCTTAATGATTTGATTCATATTAAATTGGAGATTTAATAGGTACATTATCCATCCATCTACTCAAATTCACTCATTCACAGTCAACCAACAGAGAGGCACAAAAGTGTACCAGAGTTTGCTGCTTCTTTTAAGTAACTGTTTTTTCACTTGGATGAAAGAAAGCTGAGCTTCTGGGACTGTCTCAGTGCCCTAGACATTTAATTAATACCAGAATCACGAACACACTTCAGTCTTTATGGAATAGGGAAAAGTACTTAGAAGTGAAATATCAGCAAAAAGGGCCAAGAGGCCTCCCTGGCAGAAGCAGTGTCATATAAGGGTTAAGGACAAAGGGTGCGGGAAACAGGGTTGGGATCAAATCCTGCCTCCAGTTCTTACACCCCCCCCTTATCAGCTTCCTCATCTGTAGAATAGTAATAACAAGTACTTCATAGATTCGCTGGAGAATCAGAAGCAGTAATGGAACACACAGTGTTCCAAAGTGCCTGACCCCCCAATAAACGGTATAATGCCAGCCTCCGCTGAGGGAATACTAGAAATGTTCCAAAGAGAGCTCGGTTCTCGCCTCGCCCCACTAGCGGCCCCTGCCGGCCCGGGTCCCTCTGTGTCTGGCCCCTACAGCCGCCTCGGCAAAGCGCCCCAAACCGGACGCCCCTTAGCTCCGGATTTCCAGGCGGCAGCGCGGAATCACTGAGCAAGGGGACCCGCGACTACACAACTATCTCGCCCACGCCATTTGCACCGAATTTATTAGAACGCGGCCCTCCACTCATCTCCCTCCTCCAGTCAGCCCCACGGGAAGCTCAGAAAACTCAGAAAACACGGGAAACTCGAAAGCTAGGGCTCATCTCCCGGCTGCGACCGGGTCACACAACACTGCCTCCCGAGCAGCAGCAGGATGCTGCCCCGCGCCCCCGGCCGCACTGCGGGCTAAGTCCTGCATCTGCGTGGTCAGGGGTTCCAGCACCGCCGCCGGGTACTCGGGCCGGGACGCTCACCCGCTCCTTGCCACTAATAGTGCAGCCCGTCCCCGGTAGAGCAGCGGCCGCTAGCTAGGCCCCGCCTTCGATTTCGCCCGCGCTTTGCCGCCTTCATTCGGCGTCTGAACTTGGTCACCTCCTACTCAAACATCAGCAAAGAAATAAAATATTCATACTCGGCAGCAGTCCGGAGCGCCACACCAGGCCTGCACTTGGCACTTTCGCGCCATCCCACTCCCGCGTTCTGAGGGGGCGGGTCTACGGCGAGGAACCGCCCCCTCTGTCGCGCGACCCTCCGATCCAATCGGAGGTAGCATCAGCTAACCCTAATTTGCATAGAAGCTTCTCTATATAGGCTCAGGGACAGAGGCCTCCGCTTAGAAACCATGCGCAACTTATGCGTGGTTACATCCTTACCCCAAATGGAACCCAAATCCTAGACAGGATCCAAGTCTGCATGTGCACATTATAGCGAGGTCCCCCCCTGGTACCGCGCTCGCCAGACTACGTCCCAGGGGAGCGGCGCTGGGTCCCCATTGCGAGCCCTACGGGTCATATACCTCCCCCTCCTAAGCCCTAAGCCCGCCGTCTGCAGCCCGGAGCCACCCGCCAGGGTAGGAACTTCCACGGCACAAGGTAGGGCTTCATCTGACACACCTAGGTCCCACATTCACACAGTTAAGTAGAAAGTGTTGGCTCTTTTCCTGACGTTCTGAGGGCCCTTAAAAGGGCCTTTTAGAGATTTGAAGAGAAGCCGCAGACTGCTCAGCCGCCGAAGCCGTACAAGGTGCGGCCCTGGCGTTTCAGCGCGTACACCACGTCCATGGCGGTGACCGTCTTGCGCTTGGCGTGCTCCGTGTACGTCACCGCATCGCGGATCACGTTCTCCAGAAAGACTTTCAGCACTCCCCGGGTCTCCTCATAGATGAGCCCAGAAATGCGCTTGACACCACCTCGGCGGGCGAGCCGGCGGATGGCGGGCTTTGTAATGCCTTGGATGTTGTCCCGGAGGACCTTCCGGTGGCGCTTGGCGCCTCCTTTTCCCAGCCCTTTGCCACCTTTCCCGCGACCAGACATCTTCCCGGCGGAAAGAAACCTCGATCCAGAGAGCAAGCAGCTAACGGTCGTGAGAGCGTAGACCAGGGCTTATATTTCCTGGTAGCGGACCTGTTTGAAAACCTGAAGAAAGTGGGCGGAGTTCTAGGCCCCAGGTGATTTTTGTCTTTCCTCTAATAATGAGTGAAGGAGCCGTAAGCACAACAAAACTGATTTTGGGGAAAACTTTTATTTTTCCCATAAAACTGAGGAAAGAGTCAATGGAATTTATATTGCGTTTTCTCAACGCTTAAATAAAAATAGACCAGATCCTTTTGGCGCTCGTTTCCTCCCTCCGCGCCCTCCTTCCCATCTCTCCCAGACCCCCATCTCTCGCGCGCGAATTCTAATTATTTTTCAAAATGAATGCGTCCATTAACAATACCATTCCTAAACTGATATGAAAATGAATAGTAACCAGAAACGCGTAACATCTGGTTAGATTTCAAAGCAATTGTTTTATACCTTTTCATCTATGGATCTTAAGTCACTAGTGGGGGGAGAGGAAATTTTTTAGAGCTCTTTTTTCTCTTTTATGACCCCCGTAAAGAAAGAATTAAAATTCTTTCAAAAAGTCTAACCTTACCCCTTCTTCCCCTCTCCCAGACTTTTCCCTTTCAGAGGCTTGTACGCCATTTGCAGATTATCTGGCCTCCACTGCGCGCCCCTCCAACCCCGCGCATATTTGCTCTTCAAACAAGTAACGACTTCTATGGTTATTTAGTTGAAATATCGTAAATTTCGTCTTACTGCATTCAAACCCGAGGTTCTCACATCTCCCACTTACAAATTCAAAGTTCTTAAAAATATTAGACGCCACGACGGTAGCTTTAAAAAGTGATTTCTACTGCAAATCGCCCATCAGGAGGCTCTCAGTCCTTTCTTAAGAGAATCCCTGAACAAATACGAAACTTTCAATAACGTCACTGCTCTAGGATACAGGACTCTGTCTTCCCAAAAGGGTTTACTGCAATAAAAGGTAGCAGTATTTAGAGGATGATTCATAACTCTTTGCCCGGCATTTAACATCTGGAGGAGGGAATATTTTAGTAAATTATGCTCCCTGTCCTGATTCTTGAAAGATAAACTTTTCCAGGAAAAGTTTTATAGTAAATATTTGTATGTATCTGAATGCTTATAATTTACCCATCCTTACCCATCTGCATAACACAGAAAGTAATTTTTATTGTTAAAGATAAATTAAAAGAGCCCTCAGAGGGGTGCCTGGGTCACTCAGAAGGGTTAAGCCCCCCACTCTTGATTTCTGGTAGGTCATGATCTCAGGGTCATGAGATTGAGACCCAGTGTGCCCCCCCCACCCCAGCCGGGAGTCTGCTTGTCCCTCTCCAGCTCCCTCCCTGCTCCTCCACTCTCTCTCTCTAAAATAAGTAACTCTTAAAAGATCCCTCAGAATACTGTTTGTATGGCTGCAAAAAATCCTGAATAGTCATATTGTACTACATGATTTTCATCTTTGACTCACAGGGAAGAAGAAAGTCTATCAGATCTGGAAGAGATCAGGATTCTTACAATGGTAAATTGGTTGATTATATTTATTAAGACTAAAAAATCGAGGTTAGAACAAATTTTTCAAGTTAGAAATCATTCTTGCTTACAAGAATAAAAGGAAAAAGTGTTCAAAATAATAACAATAATTATTAAAAATTTCCCTTGATATAGGCAAAAATTTAAGCAAAATTTGCAAAACTCATATCAGGAACATGTTAATAACTGCATCAGAAACTTGTATGTCCATTTATCTAGCTCATCTAGCAGTTATTGGATGCTTACTAATGTATTTAATCTTCAAAATAACACTTTGGGATAGGCACAGAGTTTACCCAAGGTCAACGGGTAAGTGGTAGAGCCAGGATTTGAACCAAGGCAGTCTGGCTCCAGGATGACTGACTGACTTAATCATGACAATATGCTGCTTCTCAACTCCAAAGACATTTATTGAGTTCCTACTATATACAAGTTAATCAGTGTTCTACGCAATAAGGACATGTACAGAAATCGCTGAAAATGTGATTTCCCTGAAATCAGATCTTTATTAGGATGGTGGGAGGGTAAATTTTACTTTTAAAATGGTTACTATAATCTACATAAAATGTCGCTTATTTTAATGTGTTTACAACACATAGAGTAATTGTATAATTATGGAAAATGTTGAGGTAACTGAAATTACATCAATGAATTAGTAAAAAATAATTTCTAATTAAAAAAAACAAACAAACTTATTTTGTTCCAAATGCTATGGCTCTGCAATTTGAGTAAGGACAGTTGCTACCGTTCTTCTTTAGTCTTTTCATGACCTCTGAGCGTCGCATGTGCAGTAGAAGGCTGGAAAAAGGGACAGCCAAGTGCCGTCACAATGTCTTACGCGACGTTATTTACCTCTGGTCTCAGAGTCGCCATGGAGAACATGATCAGTCCCGCGGTGATCACTAAGGAGAAAGGCAAGACCAAGACTCCGTGCCTCAGAGACTGATCTTGCAGCCTCTCCCTGGAACCCAGAGACTCTTTTCAGGCTCATAATCTCTCCTGAAATCCAAAGACTCTTTTCAGGCTTATAATCTCAAAAGACAGATGTTAAGTTTTGGCTAAGAGAGCTTGTTCTGCAGTCTGGGAAGAAAGCATTCACGTCTAGAGTAGCACTAGTTTCGCAGGCCCTAGAAGCTAAGATTGGCAACCTGTGAAAGGCAGAACTGCGCGGGGAGTCCAGTGTCACCTGGTCTGGTTAAGAAAGTTCAGATGGCCAGTTCAGTGCGAGGCATCTTTTGGAGCCAGCTCCCCACACTGCTGGGTAGCAGCAGGCGCATCTGGGTTTGCAGGAGACAAGGCGCTTGTTTAAAGAAACGGCAGGTAGAGGGGTACTGTTGCCCACAAGCGCGGTGTCTGGAGTCAGCTAAGCTGGCTAAGGATTATACATAACGTGAGAAAATCCACCTAGGGGGCACAGCACCGTGGGACACAGCACCGTAGGGCTCATCTTGTGACCTCAACTGTTTGAAGCATTTCTTGCTTGAATGTTTTTGTACTTGTACGGGTAGCTCTTCCGGATTTTTCAGTTTCTAACCATGGTTCCTTAATTCTTAAGACGTTCTTGTCCCAGGAGCGAACTTGGACGTCGAAATCTCTGGAGCCAAAAAATTCAACGGAGGCCCCAAATGAGGAACGGTTCGGTCCTGGGTATTCATATGAGAGGCTATGTAAATGAGGGCTAGGAGTTTGCTCTTTTGACTGGACAGAGCTGGAGAAGGCGGTCCCTCCGCCAGGAGCGATGGTTGGGAGCGGAGCCTGCCTGTCATTGGTCAATAGAGCCGAAGATGTTGCTGCGCCCAATGGGAAGGCGCTGCCTAGTGTCAGCAAAGTGATAGAGGCAGTTCCGGTGTTGGTAAATTACATTCACCTACCCAGAGCCGTGTCGCTGTTATTCCTCTCGCAGGAGTTTTAGGCGAGAGCTAATCATGTCTGGTCGCGGAAAGCAGGGCGGCAAAGTGCGGGCCAAGGCCAAGTCTCGGTCTTCCCGCGCGGGCCTGCAGTTCCCGGTGGGCCGAGTCCACAGACTGCTGCGCAAAGGTAACTACGCGGAGCGAGTAGGCGCTGGGGCGCCGGTGTACCTGGCGGCGGTGTTGGAGTACCTGACGGCAGAGATCCTGGAGTTGGCTGGCAATGCGGCTCGTGACAACAAGAAGACCAGGATAATCCCTCGCCACCTGCAACTCGCCATCCGCAACGACGAGGAGCTAAACAAGCTGCTGGGGAAAGTCACCATTGCTCAGGGCGGCGTCCTGCCCAACATCCAGGCCGTGCTGTTGCCCAAGAAGACGGAGAGTCAGAAGGCGAAGAGCAAGTGACCCTGACGCCACCACAGGGGAGCTGGCTTCCCCAGCAAAGGCTCTTTCCATAGCCACCCCGCAGTATTTTTCAATATACTCGATGGTCATGGAAGTCTGCCGCGATCTACTGGGGAGGTGGGTGGCGAGGGGCCCGCCGAGTCCGGGGCCAATAAAGTCGGTGAAAATCGTGTGGTCGAGAGAGCTATGTAGTCTCGGGGACCTTCCGGATGACCCGGGGGGCAGCCAGGAGACCTCTGGAGCAGGTACTGGGGGGTTGGTTTCTGCCGCTTTGTGGACTACTTTGGTCCGCACCCTCGAGGTGTTTTGTGGGCGGTCGAGGGAGACCACGAAGGACCCACTGGCTGGAGGTGGGCAGAATTGGGATCTCTCCCTACTCTCCTAATGCAAAAGAGAAGCAGACTAGGGTGCGGGGGCGTCAGGGGGATTATTTTTACCTGTCATTCTCAGGGCCTTCACTGTCCTGTCTCGTCTGGGCTGTTCATGGGGACCCAGTTTTGAAGACGCAGTGGGGGCTAGCTGGTGTCGCGCAGGAAGGTGGCTCTCTGACCATACTTTTCAAAAGTATGGGAGTAACTTTCCGTCTTGGAAGAGTGGTTCTGATGACACAGTGCCCAACAGATTTTTCTTAGCCTGATAGCTGTTGTGTTTTCATGATTTGGATATCAGATATTTTTATATACACACTTATGTTCCCATTTCTTTAAAATGAAGGGAACATCCAGTAATATGTGTAATATAGAAGCATGAGTCATAAGTAAATTTGTTCCTCCCGACACTCATGTTGCATAACAGTGCAGTGTCTTTAGTCATGCGTTACTTATGCTTAGGAGCTTTTAAGAGATTTTTTTCATGATGGTCGTGTCTCCATCATATTATACTCCTTTGGAAATGTAATCAGTTTGATTTTGCTTCCTAACAACAAATAATCTGCTTGAAGTCTCATGTTCATTCCCTCATTAGCCTGGAGTAATGACCTCGTTCCATCAGTACTGTGGGGGTAGCATTGCTTGATTGTACAGCACTGCTTTCATAAACATGAAATGTGAGAAAATGTAAGGATAAATGACTTTAAGTGCCGGAAGTAATACATTTCAGATCCGGAATCCACATTTAAAAGTTAAATAGCCATCCTATTCTGTCCTTAATTGACCCTTCCATTTCACCCTTTTCTACAAGCTTCATCCTGGCCCACAGGGCCCACAGCACAGATCCCAGTTCAGATTTCACATCTTTGGTATCATCTTTCCTATGAGTCAGAGTTGAAGTCTTCCTGAAAAAACATTATGGTATTTCTTTATCCTTAGTAGTGGGTGGCCCATTTTCCCACACGGACTTTCTTTATTTCTTCCCCAGTATTTATTGAGCTCTTCAGTACACCATGCTCAATACCAGATGATGGGAGTACAGCTGTGAATAAGGCCAACTAGATTTCCACTCTCTTGGAGCTCACTTCTTTTTCTTGGTACCTGATGACAGAACAATGAACAGATAAGTTAATATCAGAGAAAGGATTCACCTTCAGCTTCCATCAATACTTGTGTCTCCCTGCTGCTTATGCAATGAATGAATGTTGGGATTACTTCTCCCACGTGGTCATCTTTTTGAGGTGTACAAAGATCAGGCTACACGTACCTCTGTTAGGAGGCAGATTATTGCCCCCAAATTCCTGAGGAGAATAGACCCCAAGGCTACCATGGGCAGCATGTGCCAAGATGTCCACAGCTATTTACTGCACTCCCACTTTCCATACAGAAGGCTTCTTCATATGTAAAACAGTCCTAATGCCAATTTTGAGGACCGAGACTGTTCATTTATATACACATTAGGCATATATTAGGTGCTGAATAAATTAAAAGAAGCTCCATTTCCTACAAGATAATAGGCTTGCCCTTATAGGTTAAGGTATAGGTCACCGTAATTAATAGGATTTTGTTTTGTTTTTAATGCTCAATCATTAAAACAGTTCTCAGTATTATCACTTTGGGGACATGGTGCACAGTGGAGAAAAAAAATGTATATATATATATAATATGGAGATATGCAATGCTAGTTTTGACATTTAAGTCTTAGTTTCCTAAAAGATTTGAGGCACCTGAAAGATTATTACTAAAATGGTAACAAAATAAGAACAAGGATCACTAAGACATTTATAAGAAAAAGGCGATTTTTCCTTTCTCTCTGAAGATTCAGTCGTCTGTCTAAGCCCGTTACCCGAGGAGCAAGACAGACATGATAGAAAGTACAATGACTGCCCCATTGCCCACACCACCTCCACTGCCCCGGGGATTCTGTTTCCTCTCGAATCCTTCCCCTGACACAAGTTTCCATCAGTCTTTCACCATTTCTGTTTTTGAGGGTTTTTTTTTTTAAAAACCTGAATAATTTATTGGCAGTTAAAGGTGCATACCTCCTGCAAAATCAATTCAGTCTGTGATCCTTGAACAGATAGTTCTTGCCAAGATATGATTGTTAATTTAAAAGGACAGTATTTCTTCAAGCACAAGACCACGAAGAAAACCTGGGACAGAACTGGGTGGGACCTGAATTCTGATTTTTTTTAAATACATTTATAATCCATAGTTGTATTTATAGACACACATACTCTTTCCTGCCAAGATAAGCCATTCGTGGGGCAGGCTGTGACTTGGGCAGGATTTGTGCTTTGTTTTTCCTGTGGGGCCAGTCTCGTCTTCTTGTCTCTGAGAACTGGTCTGTTTAGTTTTGTCTGCCTGGAACCAAAAGGTTTAGTCTGGCCCTATAATTGGTGATGCCTGGCCTACGATATGCATGCTCCTCACAAATGCCCCTGGAATGTCAGATACCATGGTGTCTAAGGACCCCAGCTCCCTGGAACAACACTCAAGTTCAAAGCCACTCTGCTCCTTACTAGTTAGATGATTTTGGAAATGTTACTCAATTTCCTTAAACCTCAGTTTTATTTATTAAGTGGGTATAATAGTAGAGTTTACATCAGTGGATTTTGCAGAGGATTCACTGAGTTAACGTGAATGAGGGCACTAGAGTTCCCCGTGTAGAAACATGTTCAGCGAACAGTAATCATTCTTGTTTTTATGTGCAACTGGATCTAGAATGGGTTGCAACAATTCTGGGACCTACTAAAATAGAAAAACATGGCATTCTAGCAGTCCTGTGACTTTTCTGATAGCAAACCATAAAAACAAGTTTAGTGGCTGTTTTACTAATTACAAGACACGCACAAACAATCTGTAACAGGAGAGAGAGTAATAAATGGTTAAAACTTGTTAACCGGCCAGGTTAAAACCTTAATTTGCATTTCCTCCCTCCCTAAAGACGACCTAGTTTGGAATTAATGGCTTACGTACACCCATACACGGAACCTTTTGATTCAAAAATTTATTGAGTATATATTATGTGTGAAACCTATGATTGATACCCAGCTGTTCAGAAAAATGGTTATAATAAAAAGGTGATTACAATATAGCAGGCTACATGTAAAGAAAGGGAGACGCCCAGGGTGTTACAGTAACAGGGAATGGAAGCACCGGTATCACTCAGCCTGGTGGGGAATGGCACCTGAGACAGGTCTAGGTGTGCGAGTTAGCCTATCATGCTAGAGTGTTCTGGACAGAGAGGCAGTGTGCACCAAGGCACAGGAGTCAAAGGACAATGGCTGCAGTTGGATGTGAGAGAATCTAGGGGATAAGGCCGTTGGGGGGGGGGTCATAACTAAAAGTAGGCATCCAGAGGGAATATACATACACAGAATATATGTATAGATGTGTAAGCGGATGTATAGAAATCAGCCCAACTGAACAGGGGATGTGGGGATCCATGAGATCTGATGGACTGGCAGCGGAATGGGAGCCACTGAGGACATGGAGGGAGGACGTGGCCCAAGGAGAGAGAGAGAGACTGTCAAAGGATGGAGATTTCTCGCGGTTTGGACCTCTGCACTCCTGGACACCCCCTGATTTGCTTGTATTTTGCCGTGTAATTACAAAATGTTCTTTGAAAGTTATTACATTCTCCTATCCAGGAAATGCTGACAGGCTGGCTCAGCTTACTAATGGAGTTGGAATGGATATGCTTTTTTACCCTTTGTGTTTTCATGTGGCACATGCAGAAGCTTGGGGTCTATATGGTGACAACAAGAGCATTTTCTTTAAAAAGCTGAGAACAATGTTGGTAAAGAACCCTTTAAAAATATGTCCTTTATTATCATTCCATTTAGTTGAATAGTTTTTTTACATGTTTTAATTTTAATTGAAGTTTTAATTTTAAGTAAGTTTTAATTTTAAAGAAGTTATAGAAACAGTGGTGACTTATTAATTCAGAAAAACCAATGCAGTTAATTAATTAATTAATTTACTTTCTTAAGGAAAGGTATATTGCTTATAAGTATTATCTGTAGAAAGTTATAGTGATTTTTACTGAGGTATAATTGACATATAACATTTTCAGGTATATAACATAATGATTCGATATTTGTATATTTTTCAAAATGATCACCATAGTAAGTCTAGTTAACATCTATCAGCATTCATAGTTCCATTTTTTTTCTTGTGATGAGAACTTTTGAGATTTACTCTCTTAGCACTTTCAAATATGTAATACAGTATTATTAATGATAGTCACCATGCTGTACATTACATCCCCATGACTTCATTATTTTATAACTAGAAGTTTGTACCTTTGACTCTCTTTACCTATTTTGCGCAACCCTCCCAATGCACCCCCAGATCTGCCCACCACCAATCTGTGGTCTTTATCTAGGAACTTGGTGTGTTTTTTTTTAATTCCATATATACATGAGATCATACCGTCTTTGTCTTTCTCTGTCTGACATATTTCACTTATCATAGTACCCTCTAGGTCCATCCATGCTGTCAAAAATGGTAAGATGTCATTCTTTTTTATGACTGAATAATAGTTGTGTGTGTGTGTACCACATTTTCTTTATTCATTCATCTATTGATGGACACTTAAATTTTTTTCACATCTCAGCTATTGGAAATAATACTGCAGTGAACGTAGGGGTGCATATATCTTTTTGAGTTAGTATAATGTAGGTATTTTCAAATGTTTAAAACAAGAGAAATTTGACCCAAACAAATCAACTTTTTTTTAATTAGCTAATGTTTAGTTTCCCAAGGGAGGGAAGTGGACCTAAGAGGAACAGAAAAAAAC